TGATCTTTAAATCTTTAATATTTAATAACATATTAAAAAAATTATATGTTTATATTATTCATAACTACATAGATTATATTAAAATATACATAGTTGTGCAAATATCAGTATAAAAGTGTTCGAAATAAAAAATATGTGCTCAGAAAAAACTTATAATATCTAACGAGGGGATGGCCTGTAAAATTCTTATCAAACAGAATCCAGAATTTTGTATATTTATGCTCTATCAACCAATCCATCAATTATGAGGCAATAAAATAATGCTAAAGATTCTATTTCTTCGGCAGAATTTTAGTTCTATCGTTGAGCTTTAATATATTTATATGTTCAAGAACTTCGTGAACTTTGGATATTTTCATTTCTTTTTCATTTTATATAGATTAGAGATAAAATTTTATTTTTAAACAAGAATTTAATAAATTTTGAACGTTAGGAGAGGATTGATTTTAATATTTACAATTTAAATGATATATTGTTTTTGATTAAATTTATTTATTTTAGACATTGAAATATAAACCATAAATAATTCATATTATCTTAATGGGTTAAATTTCTGAATGGAGATGCTAGATCAGAAACGATTAAACTCGATGTCAGATCAGCTTTTTAAATATTGCAATCAGTTAGTTCTATGAGAACACTATGACGTTGTGCATATGTCTTATTATTAGAGATTATAGGATTCAGATGTTTGTAGAAAATTTTCCTTTTTACATTCGGTTGAGTCAGAATTCTAGATTCTACATCAATTTTATTGAAAGAAATCTGAAAATTTATCGAAGGGATACTGATAAACTAAAATCCATAAATAAAAACCATCTATTTTTGACTATGATCCCTCTATGTAAAAAGTAGTTTTGGATGCGTATTTTCAGCTGAGTACTAAGCGTTGCTTCAACTAGTCTTTGCATCTATATGATACATGATAGCACTTTGACATCATTTTATGAATAATAAGTAATATATTACTCACTGTTCTTTTGTGTACGTTTAGTTGTTTTCTAACATTAAATTGTTATTCATATTTCATTATCTATTGTAGAATTACATAAATCTACAGAAGCAGCATTATCTTTATTGAAAACTAGTATATTACATTAAAAAAATTAAAAATATAAGTTTTATGACTGTATACAACGTAATATATTGAATACTGTTCTTTGACTATTACAGAGAAAAATGATAACAATTGTATAAGATCGTACGCAAATAAAATATTGAGAACATTGATAATGAAAATTATTATTTAAATTATATTTACTTTCTCAATCATAAGATCATAAAGTGCAAAGTACTATTTAATACCTGTTTTACCAGGTATCTTTTTTTCTTTTTGAAAGAGAAAAGAATTCTTTACTATTTGTATTATAAACGATGCTTATCGGAAATATAATATTTGTTTAAAAATAAGAATCAAGGTTATAATAAACGCACTAACTGTTTGTTATTGTTTTATTACGTTTGTTCTAGTTTTAGCCCGAGTATTTCTTAACTTCATTTTTGACTACTTCTTAATAATAAAAATAAAAGAGTCAGTAACAAAAAAAATTTATATATGAAATGTCGAAGAAATTGTTAAATAAAAATTTTTATCTTGAGCTTGTCTTTTTGCTGATAGTTGATGTAACATCATCAAGTAAGTGTTCTATTTGATTATGTTTTTCTTCAGAAGTTCTATTACATCGCTCTAGTATTTAGAGAATCTTTTTTAGTCTAAAATTATATAATTAGAATATGAAGAAACGTAGATAATTATATTAATTTTTGATTTTATAAAGCAATAAAATAGTATAACGCATATTTTTAATTGGTAACCTAGAAATGAGCCGTTGAATCTACTCATAATAAATCACTCAAATGATGATACTTGTTTCAATACTTTTAATCTAACCTATCATGAGAGAATCCGAATTCAGAATTACTAACTGTGGTAGAATCTATGTCAGAATATCTCACTATAAGAGTGAAGGTGAAGACAAACATTAACATAAAAATATAATATTATAATATTATAATATAGAGTTGAGTCGAATTTTGTAATTAATAATGAATACTTGTATGAATTTGTTTATCTTTTGTAGCTGTTTCATTTAACCAGCCCACATTTTGTCCTCTTGTGAATTGGGACACAAATGAGACAATTTTTGCAAACAGTACTTTGCTTGGAAGCTATGGATATGATTTGTTTATTGATATTAATAACACTATATATGCGACAAGTCCTTATAACAGACAAGTCCTTGTTTGGCTTGAAGAGAGTTCTACTCCGATTAGAATTATCAAAAATTTAACACTACCTGTTGCTCTTTTTGTGACAAATAACGGAGATATTTATACCAATAGTGGTGGAGATGGTAAACGTATTGACAAATGGTCTCTAAACTCAACGACTGGTGTTCCTGTTGTATATCCTAATGAAATATGTTATAGATTATTTATTGATCAAAACAATAATATTTACTGTTCTAGTCCTGTGCAAAATATTGTTCTAATGGTTCCACTTGACAATACCACTAACACAACAGTGATAGTTGCTGGGAACACAACTTGTGGGCCATCAGCAAACACACTTTGTGTACCTTTTGGAATATTTATTGATTCGAACTTTGATTTATATGTGGTAGATACTGGTAATAATAGAATTCAACTCTTTAGATCTGGACAGATGAATGCGATGACAGTGACTGTAAATGGAACCTCAAACGGTATTTCATTATCTGATCCAACAGATGTTATAATTGATGGTAATGGATATTTATATATTATCGATATGGGAAACCATAGAATTATTCGTTCTGGGCCAAATGGTTATAATTGCGTGATCGGATGTATAGGGACAAGTGGATTAGCCTTTAATCAGCTTAATCAACCATATAAACTTGCTTTTGATAGCCATGGTAATATATTTGTTATGGATGTCGGGAGTAGTCTCATTTTGAAATTTATGTTGGCAACAAATTCGTGTGGTAAGTTCAATAGATTATTATCGATAGTAATTTAGAATAATTGAAAAGAATCACACAGATATCTTATTACCTCGACTTATTTATTTCAAATTCATTTAATTCCAAAATTCTTTGCTAAATGCTCTTGACATCTTATTTAATAAGCTTGTATGATTAGATTGCATACAAACTAATTTTTGTACTTATCAGAAACTTCTGTTATCGTACTTGTAATAAGCAATTCAATAGTTAAAAAACTGAAAAATTTATTACATAGTTTGACTCAATGAAATACTTGATGTTATTTATACAGAAAATCATTCGGAGTCAGTTTAAATAGACGATATTTCGATTCCTTTTTTTTAGAATCAACTACTATGATGACATCGCCTCAAATGATTGATACTACAATTATCAATGGTATTGTTTTCTTGCTATTTGTATCTAATTATTCCATTCTATATTTCACTTTCTAGTTCGCACGTCAACATCTTATTTTTCTCCATTATCATGTTCTAATACAGCATATATTGGTCTTAATTGTAGTATCTCTAGTAATCTATGTGATATGCTTCAACCATGTCAAAATAATGGCACTTGTAATATTACTAATCAAAACTCTCTTGGTTATATTTGTTCGTGTCCATTGCATTTCAATGGTACTTATTGTCAATTTGATGATCGACCGTGTAAACCAAATACTTGTATCAATAATGGTAAATATTTCCTCTTTATTAATAAATATAGAAAATTATTAAAAGTACTTATTTTTTTTCTTTAGGTATATGCATCGAAATGCCAAATCTAACATTTATGTGCAAATGCGCAAACGGATGGAAAGGTGATCGCTGTGAAATAAAGATTAATTATTGTGCAAATATAACCTGTCTGAATAACGGTGTTTGCCGATCATTATTGACTACATATAAATGTGAATGTCTGGGACAAAGTTATTCTGGAAAATATTGTGAAAAATCAACAAATAGTCTAGTTGTTCGTAAAGTAATTTCAAAATCATTCGGATATATAGTAATTATTGCTTTGATAGCCGTTGTTGTATTTATTATAACGTTAGATATATTAAAATATTTTTTTGGTATTGATCCAGTACGTAAATACTGGAAAAAAATGAAACGAAAGAAAAAAATTAAAAAGTCTAATCCTCAAGTGATAAGACGATTTACATATGTGAATTAAACATTATAATTTCAAGTGCCATTTTTGATTGTCTAAAAAACAATTATTTAAAATATCGATTTAATATATATGTATTATTATGAAATAAATTGTAATGTCTAAAAATAATTACGATTCATCCTTACTATATATGTATTACAGGTACATTATGATGAAAGCTTCTAGTTTTCTTTACGATAAAGATTTCTATGATTGTATCAGCAGAATAATTTGAGTGAAAAATGTCCATGCAATTGTTTACTTGATAAAAAAGTATTTTATCGATCACATGAGAAATTTCTAAAGAGCTAAATATCGCATAATAGATACATAAATTTATTAATACGAAACAAGCCATGTCTTACTAGGAATATTATTTTATTAATGAATACAGTGAAGTATCTAGCTAGTTACATATTTATCAAGAGTATTATTCATAACAGTATCAGATTGACATATAACTATATCAGTGCAAATTCAATATATTCAAAACTAAAATAAAGAATACTTTTTCCCTCCTAAGAATTTATCAATATGATAATTGATAAGCTATTAATAATTAAAAGAATTGTTTAAATTATATATTTATTTATTTTTTAAATAAAAATAATCAAGTACATATGGAATATGAAAATCACCGTTTATTATATTCATCTGACATAAAAAAAAACATTTTCAAAGAAATTAAGCTTCTTAAACCATATCTATTTGGCGATTTTTCGCTTGTTTTCGTATCGATTTTGTTAGAACTGTAAATGCATTCTTTAAACCATATCCTGTTAATGCACAACAAGGAATAATATTGAATATTCCATTATACCATTAATTTAAATCAAGTTTTTCTATTAAAATATCAGATGTTAATGCATCAGTATAATCTTGTTTATTAGCAATAATAATTAATGGAACATTTTTCATCGTGTCATGATGAAAAATTCCTTTGAATTCAGCTTTGGCAAGAGAACATGAAAAATGAATTTCTGCTAAGAATTCTACTTCTTCAGTATAATTTTACATAAGTTACAAAATTCTGAATTCTGTTGAGTAAGAATTTTGTAATTGCTGACCTAATTTAATATTGATTAATTTGACAATGAATATGAAGTTTAAGTAATATAGACTTAAATCTCTATATGAACGATAATGAAATTAATAAATTTACAAAAATCAATGCTTGCAGCAACTCTAGAAAGAATTGTTCAAATCTTGTTTTATACTTTGATTATACAACTCGTCTCATTTTGATTATTATATTTTCTACAAAGATGTTTCATTCCTTCTATTTGATGTTGCAACCTGGCGAAAATATAATTATAATTGAAGTCAAAATTAATCTCTCTATCACAAAAAAGAATAATATAAATTCCATGCATTTCTCATTATATCATAGACACAGCATTCATCTTAACTATTATTTCACTTTACAGCAATACAATATGAAAACTTTAGACGGAATATTTTCAAATATCAAAAATATTTGTTTTTAATTCTTTATTCAAACAGAAGTCAAAGAAAAGAAACGTTCAAGTGAAAATCGAGAATCAAAAAAATCAACAGTCAGGAGAAGGTAGATAATCAAAAGAAAAGAGACCTCAAAAACAAAAATCAACAACTAAAGACAACAAAAAAGGATCATTTTTTGAGAACTTTATGTTCTTCAGCAAGCTTTATTGTCTTTTGAGGATAAACCGATGCTTTAATCTACGCATATTAACATCAGTTTTGGCTCGAGTCTTACTCAGGTCGAACAATCCAGCCCAGAAACGGTATGTTTCCTGCTGGTTTCAGCCGAAAATTCACGGGATACTGCTTCAGTATTCACCGTCCTGAGTTACAGTCTTTATCTGCATTATACAGTAATTGGTCCAATTGAGTTTGAGATGGTGGTTTATTACAGATTTTTTTTATTATTTTATCTGAAAGAAAAGGAAATCTTCAAATAAATTCAAATTTTATGGTATATTGAAAATATACTACTGCTACTCCATGTTATCGAGTACTGTACACCTTTTGCAATGTCCACAAATAGTTTTTCCGCGTGAGCCATTTTTTGATTGAATGTCATATAATTATCCATTTAATTAAAAATACGAGACAAGTTGAATTTGTGTTTTGGGTTTTTATCTAAACGAGAGAGAAATTTATTTTTTAACTATAATACGAACGAACGAATGAACATTAACATGAAATACTAGAAAATGATATGGATATATCTTTTATAGACCATATTGTCATATGTGTTAATATAAAGAAAACAATGATTATAATCGTCGCTGGGTCAGGCAATAACATCGGTTATTTTACTTCCTAGATATAGTTACTGTATGATGTAAATGTCCAATTCTATTCATTTCTCTTGTCTAAGATAAACATCAACAGAACGAAAAAAACATTATGAGTTTCTTAAACACATTACCTTATTAGAGACCATAAATCGATGTTCGACCTGATTGAGATGAAGTAAAGTAAACATCTTGAGGGTGTGGGTGTGGGTGTAGATGTTCAACATTCATTACATACCCACCCAGTGGTAATGAGAAGACAAATTGTCTGCACATTGCAAGTAAATTGCAACTGTCAACGAAAGGTAGCTGTCGGCAAAACGGCGTTGACTAACTGATTGTCGTCAAAGTGTGCCAGACCCAGTTACAGATGGTGGTTGATGACAAATTTGTTGTATTATCGCTTCTGAAAGAAAAGAAAAGAAAAATTTAAATTAATGGACTTTTATGGTATATTTTGAACATATTACTATTATTCCATGGTGTCGGCGTACGAACACCTTTTTGAAAATTGTATAAGCTTTTGTCGAGCCCGAGCTATTTTTTGATGATAAGTCATATAATCATCCATTTTTAATTAATAAAAAATTTTATAAAATAAGAGACTACTCAGATTTGTTTTCTGGATTTATGTAAACGACAGAATTTATTTTTTAATAGCCAGGGGCGGCGGAGCGTCATTAACCTAAGTGAGGCTCACAATATTTTTTTCTACTGAGAACTTTTATTAAAACATGAAGCAAAATATAAGTCTTCTTTTTATTAGACTTCAATAAAAAGTACAATGATTATTGTGAAAATAAAACACATCAGAACGCAACAAAAGATAATTTTCTCTGTTCGTTCTTCGATGTGAAAGTTAAACAGAGACTTTTCTTTGTATATGTGTTAAAAAGAACAATGGATGAATGTTTGGACGTTTTTCAGCCATTAAATACACTGTGAAGAGAATATAAATCAATGCGATCACTACTGAGCTACTTCTTTATTACCATAATATATATATATGTGTATGTGTATGTGTATATGCGCTTGAAAAAAAAACAAACGTTGTGAGAATAAAACATATATAAACGAAATGAGGAAAAATTTAACATGCGGAAACGAAAACATGTAAGAAAAGAGGAAAAATACCTGACTACCATATAGACAAGGGAAATATCCAAGTAAAAGAAAAGAAAACCATATAAAAAATACGTGACCCGCATTAGAAGATACATATGTCAGAATATATATCTAATTATGTTAGATGCCGAGCATAACAAATTCTAATAATAAAGATAATATTGAATCTGAAAATAAGTGAGGCTTAAGCCTCTTGAGCCTCCACACTCCGCCGCCATTGAAGCAAAAGCTATATGTACAGTATATTTGCCGTGGATGGAACCTTCTCGCAAAGAATGTATAAAATCCATATTTTTCATCAGGGAAAATTATTGGTGGATAAGTATGATTGGCTCGAGACCTCCAGTGCGCAACAAGCACATGTGTTCAACAGAATACTTATATTCCCTCCAAAAAAGTTGCCAATAGCAAGATCCAGTCGGTGGTCGCCGTTAAAATCATTTGTAATAACATAATCCGCAGAAGCAAGCCCGGTTGGAAATATCATTTGTTGTCCAAAACTGCCATTACCATACCCAACCAATACAGTTACAAATGTGGGTGACGAAGAAAGAAGACGCACAGAGCTCCATACATCCCAGACGCCAGCGACGTCCATTTTGCCATCACCGTTAAAATCACCGATAGCAAACTGGCTTACTAAATTAGTGTGTTGGATCATAGTTGTTATTTGTGTTCCAAAAGATCCATCACCCATTCCAAGAAACACACCAATATTGTAATTACCTTGGTTTGCAATAATTATATCTAGATAACCGTCACCGTTGAAATCATTTACATCCATTGAATATGAAAAACTATAAATGCCCGTGGAGAATGTCATCGGTGTTTTAAAGCTTTCATTACCATACCCAAGTAGAATCGCTACATAGAAGTCAATATCTATGGTTACAGCGATGTCTTGATGATCATCGTTGTTGAAATCTGCAATAGCAATGGCTAGCACACACCCATCATTTCCAATCGGGATTATTTTTTCGGCCGCAAACGTTCCGTTTCCGTATCCGAGTAATACAGCCATTGAACATGGGGTACTACTCTTCGTGAAAACGATATCTATGTGACCATCACTGTTTAAATCACCTGCAATACTGCAAGGTGAGTTTACATAAGAAAGTACTACTGGCAATATTATCATTGCTCCGAAAATTCCACTGCTATTTCCAAATAAAATACATACACTGTTGTTCTCACCATATATCATAACAAAGATATCTTGATGATCATCGTTATTAAAATCAGCGACAGTGAGCCATTCCAGAGCATTAGCATCTACCACTGCATACGTCATTCGTCGTCCAAAAGTTCCATTTTCATTTGCAAGAAACACATCCGTAGCTGTGCTGAAAGCATTAGTACCGACAGCAAGATCTGATAAACCGTCGCCGTTGAAATCGCTAGCAACGAACTGTTCTACATGGGAACCACTAGTTGTATATATATCGGTTGGTCCAAACGTCAATTGACAAGTTGATACTAACAAAAGAAAGCAGTTTGGTTGCTTCTAACATCTAACTTGAAAGCATTTGAGAACAAATATATACATGCCTTATACTGACTTCTTCACCTAGTATGCTTCTACATATGTGAAGCCATTGACTTTCACTCAACTCACTCAATCAACTATCTCGGAGTTGATTCATTTTAGTGCATGTGAAAGGTGTGGTAGTTTGACTATTGTTATTCAAACTGGTTGAAAAATATCACAACCTCGGTTTAATATTTGAAATTCTTTTTACTTGAATTTTCAACTAGCAAAGATAGTAAGAGAGGCTGTAGTTAGCACTATATATCAATGATTTGATAGAACAAGTATGATTGTCTCATTTGACGAACGTAATTGAGACCCTCTGTCACAAAAAATTATAAGTCAAACCATCTAGTCTTTGATTTTTTGGAAATACGAGTAATTGAAGGAACATACCTAGATAAGAATGAATCTATAGGAAATGTACCACTATGTACACGACCATCTCAGAATCGACTGAAACTTTCTGAGTTTATAGAGGTCAGTGCGCTGCTCATTTTGATATCAAATTACCATAGGTTTGTATGTAATTAGTTTAGGTTAAAATCAATCAAAAATACGATTCTGCGAATATAGCATAAAATATGCTAAAACTGAAAAATGCTGATTATTACAAGAACATTTTCGCCCTGGTTTTAGAATAAAAAAACAATAATCTATATATCTATTTTGATAGCCCCTGTTTAGCTCTATCGAATCATATACAAATTAAATAGGTCTGCTTTAGAGAGTATGGGTGTGGGTGCATAATAATTTTACATATACCTATCCATACTCGCAACTACCCTCGTAATAATGAGCATTTCCAGTTTTACCATATTTGATGCTATATTTGCAGAATCATATTTTGACTGGTTTTGACCTAAACTACATACACACCTATGATAATTTGATACCAAAATGAGCAGCTCACTGAGAGCTCTATGAACTCTGAAAGTTTTAGCCGATTCTGAGATGGTCATGTATATAGCGGCAGATTTCCTTTGGATTCAATCAGAATAAATTCATCTGAGATAGTATCATAAAAACTTCACTTATTCTACCTTCCATTCATAGAAAAGATTTCGAAAGAAAACAATGATACAGTTTTTAAACCACAGACCTGTTGACGTAGATGTTGTCGATGTCGTACTAGTTGTCATGCTTGTGCCAGTCTTTGTTGTTATGTTCATATGTGCAAAACCTGTTGTGTTCATTGAAGGAACTAATAAAAAAAGTTCGGAAAAAAGTTCATTTAGACATATATACGATCAGAAAACAGTGCTCAGACGAATTTGTTACAAGTTTTAGTTAATTTAAATTCACCTTTACTTTCAGAATCGTGTCATTTTGTTTGTTTTTCTTTGCTATTGATAGTGAATTTCAGAATGAAACTGATCCAATAAATAATAATAAATATACAACATATACTAAACTAAACCAACAACTACAAAATCAAAATATTCTTTTTCAATGTAAACCTGAGAAAAAAAAGTTTTCTTATTTAATAACAGTTTGTTTGAAAGTAAAAATATTTCCTTTGAAAAAATCAATTAATTCTTTACATGATATATAAAAAGATAAAAAATTCTTTGTTTCATAGAGATTTACTGAATATCTAAATGAATTTAATACGATCTTGTACTGGATATCTATGGGAGAGTATCTTATATGAATCATTCAAATTTTCGATAGTAACGTGTAAAATAAAAAAAGAGAGATCGATACTCTGATAATTGGATTATATTTGAACAGTAACTATCGTCTGTCAAAGATAGTTTACTTGACGTATTCGTATAAGTGTAATGATGCTAAAGAAAAACTAGCGATTCACTAAAATGCAAGATTTCTAGTATTTTGACTCTTGTCATTCGAAAGTTTACCATCCCAAAATAATTTTAATATTTTCTGTAAGTCGATGTAATTCTGCATCGGATAAGGAATTACTTGAAACATCTAAAATACTAGCGAGGAAAATAGACCGTGCCACAGGTGTTAGAAGGGGAAGGATTGTGAGCATTTCTCCTGACTCGGAAGCAGCTTCTATATATTCTAGATTCTCCTGAGCCGAAAATCCGTCTTCAGATTCGTGATCAGCATGACAAATTGAGTATAAAAATATTAATTGATCAAATACGAATTTGATATAATTAAATAAATTTCTGTGAATACTGACAATTTGAATAGACCTTATCACATATATTTATAGCCATCTTAATAAGTCGCCTTTTTTTATAGAAGATCGAGAGTGCTATCATTTATATCTTTTGGGATTTTTCACAAATACATCAGAAAAAGCTAATATTTTAGATTTAGTATACTCAAGTGATGCTCTGTCGTTTTTGATAGTTAAACTAATAATCAAAAACTTTTCTGCAGTTGGCTCTACGTATATGGAGTAAGTGGGTATCCTGATGGACCCTCTCTTAAGTTACTTTCATCATCAAAAGCGCTGTTTGAGAAAACGATTTTACCTGTTGATATAGCTTGGTTATTTCTTTGTCGAATAAAATAAAAACAAGAAATAATGATAACCACTGCAGAAAATAAGAACAACATAAAACAAAAGGCAATCTTGGGACAGCCAAGTAGCGACGAAAGGCAACGAATTCTAAAGAAGAATGTTGAAGATGATGATAATGGATATTAAAAGAAAAAAGAGCATACTTAGTTGTTGCAGCCGTGGGTGCTAGTTCAACATGAATAGTGTCATGTTGCACGTTTGTGATGTTAGATATTGTGTTAATATTCTCGGTGGTTGCTGTATTGATAGGATATTCAGAATAAATAATGTTTCTCTTGTTTTTCCGATACTTATCAACTCTCGTCACAATGCGAACTACCCAAGGACAGATCCATTTGAGGACAATTGTGAGTCCACCATAGATGCTGATTAGAAATGATATTGTGTAGACTGAATTGATCTGTTGGGTGTAAGTATATGAACATATTGAAGGTGAACATTGTTCAAAATACGATAAGTAGTTGATCGTTGCAGATTGATCTTCGACGAAAAGAGCATTGGCAATATCTCTCACAGTTGTATTAGTTGAGAATCGACTATTATTTTGGACGAGAGAAATAGGAGTCTTTGTGGTATTAGTGCTACTATTATAGGTTGTTTGTTCTTGTATAATATTGATGCATAAAGAATCATAAAAACACTCGAGAGTCGAAAGAAGAAATGATTCACTTGGTGTACAGCCTATTTTGAAGCCTTTGATTGGTATGATTTCTGATGAATTACTATTTATGAAACTTGCTTGAGTAGTACAGGTCGCATACAACGCACACGAGCATTCATTATCATAAGTAATGGCGTGATAATACCCCACTATCGGCGGTATAAGAGTAGATGCTACGAGCTCAAAATTGGTTTGATATGTTGTTATAACTGCATTTCCATGATTTATAGAGAGAATTAGGGAAAGAAGACCGGCGATTGTAGTGGGAGTATTGAGCTTATTCTGTTTGATAAGAGAATCTATTTGTTGATAAAGGATTGTTTGTGGTATAAGTCGAGTACTAACCAATGCAGAAGAAAGAAATTGATTGATGGAATTGTTTACTGCTGCAATGGAAAGTTGACATAACCCATTAAGAAATTGCAAATGGGCTGCAAGGAAACGACGATAGTCCCTTTTATTATAGACAGACAGATCAGGAACAAGACCAGCTATGAGATTCTCGCGCCATTCATTCGAAGCAAATATACTCGAACAGATCTATGGAAAATTCAAAACGAAAAGAAAACTTATTTGAGTAATATATTCAAAAAGTTTGAACGGAAAATTCAATTATAATCGAATAATTCTTGATAGCAAATTGATTAAAATATCACGAGTCAATTTTAATTTAAGCTGTTAGACTACTGTGAACAGTTCTACTTGTAGTCTTATTTTAGCTAAATTAAAATTGACAGAAAAACGTTTTTCTACAGACTTTGAGTTACTCACTGCTGTAACATTAATCTATTCGTAGATCTTATAGTCGATCACCACTAATAGCGATAATTCAATCTGATGTTAAATATTTGTTTTACTTGCAGTTTGTGTTACTGATTATTGTATTTTAATCAATTGTAATCGCTAATTTAAATTAACATCTCGTATCATGGCAGATTTCAAATCGGTACTAATTTTGAAATCTGCATGTCAAAATTATTAAAAAGTTCAAAGAAGTTAAATTAATATAATATATTTAATTATTCCTTTAGGCTCCATCATTTCAAAACGGCTAAGAAATCAGCTATCAGAGATATAGTGAAAACTGGTCATAATTTGAGACTTGTCATGGCTTCTACAAAAAGTTCGCGCGTAAATAAGTTTAGGGAGAGGTTGATAGAAAATGAATATGTCACAGAATGTATTAAAATATTTGATAATTTTTCTGACTCTTTTTCGTGAACCTAACATGAAATGATGGGTTAATCAAGTAGTCATATAGATTATTGCGATGTCTTGTTTCAGAAAATAGATTTGGACAATTATTTACAATGTTGATTACAATCGGTTATGATTAGAAATCGAGTTCATAGTTTCGGATTAAGAAGTCAGTTATAAGTGATTCAGATGAGAATTGGTTATATAAATAATCGATAGAAGTCATGATTTGTATTCAATTCAATCAAAAACTGATTTAAAATGGACATTTATCTGATTTTTTCCAACTAATTGTTTCATAGATTTAGCTTTGGGATAACGATATCACAATAAATATGTATTTTATAGCTCATCTCATCGATATAGTTTCGTCTTTGATATTAAATAAGTTCAAATAATCTTCTTGCCTTACCTGATGAAACGTAACATTAATCTGCACATATTGATCATATGTTGATGAAATTACTGAACAAGTGCATTCAAGTGTAGTGCCGCGATCGCGTGCAAGACGATTATAGACATTGAAGGATGGTTTATCAAATGTCTTCGTTAGAATTTCAGGTTGAATAATAGTATAGAAGACGATAATAACAAAACTAATAATGAGCAAGACAATGTAAAGACGAGTGGTTATTCGACCAAATCGTGTTGCTGTTATTCGGTCAGTTTTACTTCCGAAAGCCCATAAAGGAAATATATTTAGACTGATCAATTTGGTAGACACAATTGTAAGTAGTTTCGGCAATGCCATTCTCAGTCGAGCAAGCAATCTCGGACGAACTATGTATAGAAAAAAAATCAATGTTATATTTTTTTACGAAAAAGCATCATCGATCGTTGAGCTATGCAAGTTTGAGAAACTAACCAAAAAGCCTGACATTTTTGTTACAGTAATGTTGTACTAATACACATTATCTATTTCGATATTATTTCTATATCTAGTCATTATTGTCTTTCATTCCTTTCTTGATTGATAGGAGAACAGCCTGCCAGTTGAATGAAAAAGAACCGAGAAACATTTGCTCTCACAGATGTATGTGTCCTGTTTTGCAAGTTTTATTCTAAAACTGTCCTCTCTAAAAACACCTGTAAGGCAGCTGTAAAAGGGTGGGTGTGGGTAATACTCTTCTCTTCACCCATATCCACACCCATTTAATTAAAGGCATGTAACCAGTAATTACCTTTATGTTGTCTTCTGACTATTCGTACGAGCAAGAAAAAGATGAAGTTGACAAGTTGAGGGGTGATCAGTTTTAGTGCCATCGTAAGGCCACTAATCATAGATATCATTGTAATTATTATTCCAACGAAATTATTTTTAGATGCTGTGACAGAATAAGTACAATAGGCTGGTGCACATGCTTTCCAGTAGCGATCATATGAAAATGCACAGTTCCACTGTTCGATCATGAGCTCTTTAGCTATCGTTGATATTGTAGTATTTGGCGGAAAACGGCTTAATGTTCCATCATAAACCAAAGGGGGAACGTTGAACTTCGATATGCTAATAGAAAAAACAAGTGTACACATGTAGAGTAGGATGAATATTGAAATAATTTCCTGTCGGATTTATTCAGAAGTTTTCAGTTAATTTCGACCTACTCTATCGATTAATATATTATTATATTTTTTTGAGACTTCAAGAGCTATTTGAAAACAAGCTCATATACGGGCTTTTTGTGGCAAATTTTATTGTACATTGGTGTTGAATTCGGTTGGAGTCTTATTTCATAGTTTATATTCTAATTTCAAATCAATATTGACTTGTTCGATATGATAATATAGGGGCTTCTATATAATAACGTTCGGGGAGCATACAGATCGCTCTTCATTAC